CTCTTCCCAATCATATTAGAGCCTTAGTAGCGCAGCCGACTAAAGCACTGTTAAATAACACCAGCTGCCTGCAATTTCTGCTGGTTCGAATCTCTCCAAGGCTCAAGGTTGACTCAGCCTTCCATCCTTTCTAAGGTAGGTGAAATGAGGACCCAGTTTGTGGGGGCAATAAGCTGACTTTGTATAAAATATACAAAAGAATGAAGGCTATTGCTTAACGCATTGTAAGCCGCCCTGAGTCTCCGGAGAAGGGCGGCATATAAATCAGATTAAAAAAAAAAAAAAAAAGTTCAAATCTCACCAGGCTCAAGGTTGACTCAGTCTTCCATCCTTTCAAGATAGGTAAAATGAAGACCTGGTTTGTGGGGGCAATAAGCTGACTTTGTATAAAAAAGAACACTGCTTGGGGGGGGGGGTGAAAGCCCTACTAAGCAGGTATATACAAAAGTATGAAGGCTATTGCTAAATGCATTGTAAGCCGCCCTGAGTCTCTGGAAAAGGGCGGCATATAAATCGAACCAATAAATAAATAAATAAATAAATAAATAAATAAATAAATGAATGAATGAATGAATGAATGAATGAATGAATAAATAAATAAATAATGAATATTATGTTAATATTATTTTTTGTAACAAAAACCCAAATAGTATGACCATTAAATATGTCCAGCTTTTGTTCATTTTTTCAGCCCATAGATCCATCCATTACAGATTTTAATAGTTTTAATGTACAAAAATGTTAGTGTCCTCTATTTTAGCTACATAAGGACATTACGTTGGCATTTGAAAAAGGGCTCCCTTTTAATGCCAAGAATAAGTCACCCCAAGCATGAATTATTTAATATAAATATATGAAAGGGTTTAAATGCGTATTTTGTAGAGAAAAGTTTCAGGTAACCCATTCACTCATGAATTCCACGTTTAGCAGCACATATATGCTGGTATGTAAATAAGTCTATTAAAAATAATATAGTTGATTGAGATCCAAAAAGACAAGGTAGTTGCCCTTCTCCTTTTATTAAGGAAAGGCCTGCATCTCTGAATTTTGTTTTCAGGTAGAACAGAGAAGAAGAAAAGGAAATAAGGAAGAGAGGTAAGGCCCATTTCCCCATCTGTGCCTAACCACTTGCATGCTTTGCCTTTGCCTATTCCTTGTCTTTTTCTCACTTCCAGCCCATAGGAAGGTAGACTTCATTGTAATGTTTTCCATTTATTGTCTCAGGGCAGTCATGGTATCTAAAATATGTCAAGCTTTTTTTGTGCCTTCCAATCAACGACAGGTCCTTGATGTTTCCTTTGCAAGATTTCAAAGAAAATGGCAACTGGTTTGCCATTGCCTTCTTTCTTGTGCTGAGAGATAATGACTGGTGGTAGGTCACTGAGCTGGCTTTGTGCATAAGATGGCACTACAACTCATTTTTTTTTCTGGTTTCTAAGCTGGTGCCTTAACAGGAACTAAGACTTTTTCTCAACCTTATTACTTGTTACCTTAAATCAGTGGTTCTCAACCTGTGGGTCGTGATCCCTTTGGGGGTTGAATGACCCTTTCACAGGAGTTGCCTAAGACCATCGGAAAACACATATTTTCAATGGTTTTAGGAATAATTTTATGGTTGGGGGTCACCACAACATGAGGAACTGTATTAAAGGGTGGCGGCATTAGGAAGGTTGAGAACCACTGCCTTAAATAGAAGCGTGGTGACTGCAGTAACTGAAAACAGAGAAAACAGAGATAGGCTAAGGACCAACAAAAAGGGAGCCACATTATGCTAGATATTTTTCTGCTAAATCAGGCAGTGAAGAAAGGAAAAAAGAGAAGAATAAAAATCAGTTTTTTTCTTTTATTTATACTCCTAACACTACTAGTGGTTAGCAATATAAAAAGTGCAAATAATAGACTACTCCAACATATTTAATATAAAGGAAAACAGCTAATAAAGAACAATATTCTTTCAGCCCTCCACATGCTAAATGACATTTGTGATGGTTCATATCACAAAAAGGCAGAGAATATGTAATAATAATAATAAAGATATATTTTTCTTTCTTCAGATATTAAAATAATTGACTGATGAAAGAATTTAAATGAAAAAATCTGCTTGTTTTTAGAATATTTGCATTATTTTTCTTAGAGCAATGGACTGGTTTTCTGTCATCAGTCAGCATTTTGTCATTTTTGAAGTGCTAACATTTATTTTTGTTTTCTTTTGTTGTAAATCTACTATTTACTGCCATGATATTTTTGATCTACATGAAAAAGGCCTGGAGCTAAATTTTAGAGGTCCCTAGCATTCTGTGGAGTTCTCCGTCTCAGTACTTCTCTGATAGTAAGCAGTATCTCTCCTTCCCCCCGTTCCTTCTCTTCTAGTGAATGCAAAATCAGGGCCATTAAAGAAGGGTTATAAGGGATACAAGTCCTTCTGGCCATTGTAATCACCCCTAAAGTTCATGAAGGTTGTCTGAGAGCTGAAAAAGTAAACAAAGGGCAATAGTAGCATTATAGGAAATTGGAGCACAGGAAATTGCTTTGTATGTTAGACCATTGATCCATTTAGCCCAATGCTGTTAGCACTAAATAGCAGTGGCCCTCCAAAGTCTTCACCTAGAGATTTTGAAGTCCTATGTTGAGATGTCAGGACTGAACCTGGAACTTTTTACGTGAAAAAAAATTGTCCTGTTATTCAACTTTCCTCTAAGTAGTCATGTTTTGATATTGGCTTTCAAAGCTATGTTTGATTTACTAGAACTCCATGTAACTTTTTATGTATATATAGAGTCTGTTGAGTCATATGTCAAGCCTGCTGAGAATGGAGGTATGCTGGCTTTTCAGAACTAAAACACTAGTTATCTGATAGAGTCTCCATGTTTGCTTTCAGCTGTGAACAGATCCTGTTTTAGAAAATAAATGAAGGATGTAGGACTTTGTAATAGATTTGGGGAATGCAAAGCAAACACACAGTGTGATAGCTTATTGATACTTTTAACTCAATTATTCTCAATGTCATTGGGTTAACAAAGGTAAAGGTTCTCTCGCACATACTGTATGTGCTAGTTGTTTCCAACTCTAGGGGGCAGTGCTCATCTCCGTTTCAAAGCCGAAAAGCCAGCGCTGTCCGAAGACATCTCCGTGGTCATGTGGCTGGCATGACTAAACATCAAAGGCACACGGAACGTTGTTACCTTCCCACCAAAGGTGGTCCCTATTTTTCTACTTGAATTTTTACATGCTCTCGAACTGCTAGGTTGGCAGATGCTGGGACAAGTAATGGGAGCTCACTCCATTACGTGGCACTAGGGATTTGAACCACTGAACTGCCGACCTTTCTGATCGACAAGCTCAGCGTCTTAGCCACTGAGCCACCCTGTCCCTTTAACAAAGGTAGCACAGTTTAAATTAATAATATATGATAAATATGTTCTATTAAAGAGACTCAGAATTTTATACACAATGTACTTTTTCCTATAACAAAGGTTCAAATATGGACAAAATAATGTCTCTTTAGTATCCCAATGTATTTGGGATACTAGAAATGTATTTGTACCAGAAATGTATCCCCAGTTGTGACTGAAACAGACAAAGGTTGAATCCATTGGTCCAGAGCTAAATTTTGCTTCCCCCTCCCACACTACATTGTTTCTCTTCAACCATCCAGCCTGAAACAAATTCTCACAAGTAACAAGAAATGATAAGAAACAATGCTAACATAAGAACCAGACCCTGCAACAAACCCAAATGTTTACTTTGGCTCCAGATTTGTTCCAATAGCATCATCAGATGCTGTTCCTCTGATATATTAAGAGCAATAGAAAGTCATTATTTAAGTCTGGAATTGCACACAACATTTGAGTCATGTTACTCAATTATCCCTGCTTTGATTGGTGGCACATTTATTTCCAATTATTATGTTATTGTTGACCTACAAAGCCATATATGGTTTGGCCAGGGTTTGGTTGAAATACCTTTGTTGATATGACCTAACTCAGTCTTTGAGCTCTTCCAAGGTGTTCACATTTCTACCTATCGGCAAAGCGAATGGAGTGATTACCTACATATTCTGATGTATTTATGGAGAATTCCCTGTTTTAGGCAGCAGCATTTGTCTTCACAAGTTCAATTCCATTGTTTGTTGAAGACTCATCTTTTCAACAAGTCTTTGTATCATTTTAATGTGATCTGAAGAGACTTCAGATCTTCAGAAAAAATATTCTCTTTTATTGATAGTATTTTTATTGTTATTTTTCCAGTTTGATATAATGGATGCTTATAATAACCTTGTGTTTTAAGTATTTGTGTTCTATATTTTTATTTTTATTTGTAAACTATATTCTTCTAAAAAACACTTTTTTTAATCCAATTTGTGAATCAAGCTTTGTGTCATGGATCATCAATCACTTGACATGCATACTCTTCTTATGGGTTTTTATGTACATATAAAATTAAGCCTGGTATAAAGAAAGAAGATAAAAACAATTCTTTACATTATTCTAGAACTTGGCATTTTCAATGGCACTGAATGTGGGAGATACACTTGTCAGACAAAAGAAAATAATTAGTGCAAAGCTAAACTAAGGAAACTGCTACCAATAGGACTGCTTTGAAAAGAAACTAGAGAGATTCACAGAAGGTTTGCCTATTTAGGTCATAATGGCTGACTCAGGCCACTATTGGGAGGAAGATTAGATAGGCCTTTGGTCTGGACTGTCCTTATGCTATCTTTAAATTCAAGCAGGCAGAGAAAACAGTATGGTTCAAGTCAGGGGTGGGTTCTACTTATCTTTACCATGGGTTTGCAACGGGATTGCGTGCACGAGCTCGCTTCACTCGCGCATGTGCCTTGCTTCTGCGTGTGCGCAGATCGCTGATGATGACATCTGGGGTGGTGGGTGGGGTCTCCCGCCGGTTTTACTACCAGTTCTTGCGAATTGGTCCGAACCAGGGGCAACCCACCACTGGTTCAAGTGTCCTGTCAGTCACACAGAGTAGCCTTATTTAGCATGGTAAATTGAACAGGTCTGCAAGGAATTTCAGTTGAAATAATTCAGCCCTGGAAATTTTTTGATAGGATATCAGCTTTATCCACATTCATATACATTATAATGACAGGATCTCTTTAGTCAGCAGCTCTTTTTGATTCTGGTATCACTTTGGTAAGAGGCCAGTACTGTACAGTTGTATATGTGGCTGGATATAATAGTCCAAAAACCGCCATAGGGGTCGTTGGTATGCCTCTGTCACTGTATGGTTTGAAAGGCAGACACCAAGAACAAACAGTATGACTAGAAGCACAGTGAGGAGTATCACCAGTAGGATTCCAGCGAAATGCCACAGAATAATAAAGACCCAGGCTAGCTTCCACCTGTTGAAAAGAAATGTGAAACCTGCAGTTGATAAAAGTAAAATAGGTCATGGCAAAAACAATAACTTCTTACATCTTAATGACAATTTATTGATCGGAGAAAACATATACTGTAACTAAAACCCTAGAGTTTGATGTTCAGGTACAAGAATGCTTTGGATTTTTAATTAAAAAGAGGGTTTCAGAGATGACTATAAAGGCATGTCAGGAAGCCCTAGTTGCATTTTCTGGGCATATGAATTTGTTGTTGAAAACTAATAAGGAGAATCCGTGTTGGGTGATAAAGAAATACGTTTGGTACTGCATTCATATCACAGATGAAAGAAAAACAAAACACCCCTCCTCCGGGTTTTAGTTAACCATCAATTGATAAAATTTCAGTGTCAATGAAGAATCTGGTTTCTTTTTATCAGGCTTGATCAAACGTCCAAAAGTGTAGACTGAATGTGGCAGAACTCTCTCTCTCTCTCTCCTCAGTTATGACAAGTTTCAGCAAGACAGTATTTTATAATCCCAGCCATGCCCAAACAAATGATTCCTAGATGTGCTGGAACTTCTACTCCTAAAACTTGCATGAGCTGTAATTCTGGAAGCTGAGTTATGAGGAAAACATCCGTACTTTGAGTGACTTCCTTTACTTCCTTGATTTGAGTCTATGTTTTGGGAAACATAGAGATATGTTTTGGGAAAAAGATTCTCTATACTTTCCATCCCGTAGACTTTCTGCCTTCTGCTTATGCACATAACTGAAGAAATAATGTTATTTCTACTTGAATCTTGATAGATCTGAAATACTGAACAATTTGCCCACAAACCTAAGACTAGATAATCATGAGTATATTGACTCTTTATGTCAGTTAGTCCTGAGTGACAGCCATGTAACAACAGAAATATTGCTCTGTGCCTGTTACCTAATCAACTTTTATGTTCCCTTCTCCAATAGACATCACATAAAACCAAATCAAACCAAACCAACACCTGATAATAATATTTCCTCCCATTTAACAAAAGAAAGGGAAACAGAAATCTGTGGTTTGTTTACTGGCACAAGTTAATCTGTCCCTAATGAAAGGGTCAGAGTTCTGCCACAAAGAAATCACTAAATAGGAAAGAAAAGTCTTAGCTGCTTAATTTATAAAACACTTTCTTCTATCTTGCATCAAAGAAAGAAGCAGTCAAGTATTATTTATTTGAAGTTCTAATATATTTATAGAGATCTCTTAGAACATTAAAGCTGACTTTTATGACTTTATTAAAATTTTTATGACAGGTTTTTAATAATAATAATAACTATAGTAGTAGTAGTAGTAGTAGTAGTAATAATAATAATAATAATAATAATAATAATAATAATAATAATAATTTTATTTCTATACCGCCCCTCTCCCGAAGGACTCGGGGCGGTGTACAGCCATTTTAAAACAAAAAATATACAAATATCAAAATTTAAAATTATTAAAAATATTACACAATTTCGGCCCAGATTAAAACCCCCAATTTAAAACTCCCAATTTAAAATAATTACATAGTTAGCCCTGCCTGGCGAAACAGTAGGGTCTTAAGGGCACAGCGAAACACACGGAGGTCGGAGATCTTGCGTATTTCCGGGGGCAGTTCATTCCACAGGGCTGGGACTCCCACAGAGAAGGCCCTCCCCCTGGGTGTCGCCAGCCAACATAACTTGGCCGATGGCACCCTGAGGAATCCCTCTCTGTGTGAGCGGACTGGCCGGTGGGAGGCTATTGGTGGCAGAAGTCGGTCTCGCAAGTACCCGGATCCTAAGCCATGGAGCGCTTTAAAGGTGGTAACCAACACCTTGAATCGCACCCGGAAGACCACTGGGAGCCAGTGCAGCTCACGCAGGAGAGGTGTTACATGGGCGCAACGAGTTGTGCCCATAACCACCCGCGCGGCCGCATTCTGGCCGCATTTTCCTCTGCTATGTCCATGTTTGCTCATAACTTTCTTCTTATATTTTTAATACTAATTCCCTTGTTACTATTTTTCCGAGATGTTAACAAATCTGAGACAGTTTTCCAAAAGTTACTATATTAATCTAATAAAAAATGTATTTCATTATAATTATTCTGGCACAAATAAAAAAAATAGTTTATAGTTTAATAGTTTACCTGATAGTCTATCAGGTAAAAATGGAAAAGCTGTTGAGATCCAATTATTTAGAAGAATCATCTTCATTTTTGGTTCATTCCACTGAAGATCTACCATGCACTGATTCTTCAACCAATTTACTGGAATCTAATGGATTCTAAAAAAGTTTGATTCCTCTTTGACTAATGAATGATGTAAACTCATTTAGGCTAAGATGCTACAGCCGTGTTGGATATCTGTGGCATTCATGGTGCATAATATAATAGTTATGAAACTAGGAAGAGATTCTCATTAGATTTTATAAACCATCCTATTGTTTAATCTCCTGCTACCATTGAGCGTATTGCAAATTCGCCTTTGAATTCTATTTTTTTTAAAATAGAAATTGTGGTCTGCCTGATTAATCACAAAAACTGAGTTCTGAAAATCCACGGGAAAACCTTAGACAAGCTCTCCAGTCAATCATCTGATCATAAGAAAAATGGACTCTGTGCATATCAGTCAGGTTTCTCTTTCTGGTTGTTGCAAGTTTATGTTGTAGTTATTGTTACTATCAAATAGTAATATTTTCTTCACTAACCTACCACCACAAAGCTGCTGTTTCATAGGCTTCTCTTCCCTTCTTATTTTTTCTTCCTGTAGATAAAAAAAGAGTAAAATTAGATTTTTAAGATTTCTAGCTTTCAGTGTTCCCAGTGCTTAATTGGTGAACCTTTTAAAGTTCCTCTCTGTGTAATTTAGACAGTTAAGTTCCCTTAAATCTAATTTTCTTGCCACTGAAACCCTGAAACCATGCTGCTAAATTACAGCATGATTTTGCACTATTCTCTTAGCTGTTGTGAAATAACAGTATTTGTAACCATTTTGAGCAACATGATTTAAGAGTGTCTAAGAAAGAACCTGCTAAATCCTGTCAAGGACCAGTCTAGTTCAGTATTCCTTCTCAGATTTCTCAGATGGATACCTCAGGTGGGATACATGATAACAGTTTCCTGATGTTTTCAATTCTCTGAATTGAATTCAGAGGCATGCTGTCTCTTTATTGATTCCAAGCACCCATATGTGCACAGAAATCCAGTAACAGCAAATGACGAGTCAATTACTGCTAAATTTGTGCCCCGCTGTTAATGCAGAGGAGCATCACAGTGTCAGTTGTTAAGTCAATCCTTATTTTAGGACTATAGATACTGTATCTGCTGACTATTTAAGAAGGTAGTAATTGCAAAATGTAGATTATTATCTTACTGTGAGGACAACCTGCCAGTTTCTTTGAATTAATCACAAATTATATAAGGTTAGTCTGTATACCTTCCCCTTCAGAAGCTATTAAGCAAAATCGTATTCTACAGCTCCAAGGTATCACTAAGCAAGTATCTCTGTCAAAGCTCAGTTTCAGTAGTTGTGATAACTATAGCTAAAACAGAGGACCCAATTTTTCCTCAGTGGTGATCTTTAATTTATGTTTACAAGACTGACCAGTTAGCTTTCTCTGTTTTGGATAAAACAAGGTTACTGACCAGTTGAGCCCTGGCTATTTCATACATCAAGTTGTTTGGGTGAAGATTCAAAAACTTGCCTGGAAAGTTGCTGTGACACCTGAAAGAAGAGAAGTCTGGATTATTGAAACAGATTTTGTACCAGTGAGCTTGTTCCTAAAACCTCCCAAATGGGTTCCTTAAGAAATCCTCAAAGAATGTGATAGTCTTTGGAAAGTATGATGATGAAAGAAGTGGTGTCCTTTAAGCCAACACTCAACACTGAGAAAGCCATGCTTGTATGGCTTGTATAAGATGCAGGTATGCACTGTGTATAAAACATAGAAATTTATATTAAGAGTGGGGTTTTTTTCTTCCTGGGTCTTTTTATAAGAAAGTAAATTTAATTTGAAGAATTAAAAGGAATATATATAGAGAGAACAAATGAAAGTATATGATATTATCAAGAAAGTAAAATAATTGAAATGGAAATGGGTCAGTCACATAGCAAGAAGAACTGATGGCAGCCTGACTAAGGCAGTCATAGAATGGATCCCACTTGATAAAAAAGCATCTGTGCTCCCTGAGTCCTTCGGGAGTAGGGCGGTATACAAATCAAATCAAATCAAATAAAATAAATAAAATAAAGAGACCTAAAACAAGATGGATCAATGACATCAGCAAATATTGAGGGCCCAATTGGCAAAAGAAAACTCAGGACCATATTGGCTGGAAACAGGAGGAAAAGGCCTTCATCCTGCAGTTGATAGACAATGACTAAAATTATGATATATATATATTCCTTTGCTTCTCTCTCTCTCTCTCTCCCTTCCTCTCTCTCTCTCTCTTGTAAAAGAATCTTAGATCATGGGTATCAAACTTGCGGCATCACATTGCCATCACATGACATTTTGTGACATTTTCCCCATTGGTGGAGCTGACTGCAGGCCGCCAGTTTGACACCCCGATCTAGATCCAGTAAATTCATGCCCTTCTAACTATATTTTGCCAACTGAAAACTCTACTTCTTGAGAAAAAAAATAGCATCACAGATGGTACAGATATTAGAATCAGAATGCCTCCTTCAAAGTCAGCAACTCTCTTTCTCTCCCCAGAATGAAAACTATAAAGACTCTTGTTAAGCCTTGGCTAACTTGGCTAACTTCAACTACCTTTGATTATGCAAACAACCAACAAATTTTTTTGAGGCAAAGGCCAGGAAAACTGATACTGAAAAACTTCATTGCGGTCATCAATCAGCTCAAATGAAATTGATATGCAAATATCCAAAGCTGAATTGACAATATCTGAATAGTTAAAAGAAATACATGCAACAAATGTTGATTCAAAACAATATTACAGAGAGAGCTAAAATGCTTTTTCAGGGTACACAGGTTGTTGGATGTTCTTGGAGTTGTTTTGTATGGCATGAACTGGAGATATTGTGTGTATTATCCTCCAGATCAGGTGGCAGCAGAAGCTGCAGTGGGAGAGGATATCAGAACGGAACTGGTTTAGCAGACTGGCTGATGGAAGGGGATGCAGCAGTGGTGAAATGTAAAATTTGTTCTGTGGGTGTGGCTTGATGTGGGGGGTAATGTGACTGGGTGGGCGTGGCCAACTTTTTTTTTAACTTTTAAAAGCATTTTTTCTACAACCTCTTCAGCCAAAGAGGTTGTAGAAAAAATGCTTTTAAAAGACTCTGACGATCCCAGCTGAGTTGCCTGTTCGTCACAGGCTTTTTTTTCTTTTCATCTGGGCATGGGGGGGGGGCAGGGATTTCTGCTACCGGTTCTCAGAACCACTCACCGCCATTGCTACAGGATCGGGCGGTCCGAACCGGAAAAATTTCACCCCTGGGCTGCAGGTTTCAGATGTAAATGAAGATAGCTTCAGAAAGGTATGAGAATCCAAGAAACCCTGGAAAGAGTTTTTCGGATCCCCTCGGATTAGGAGTGACTTTTGAAAGAAAAGTACAGGTAGTCCTCAATTTACAACAGTTCATTTAATGACCGTTCAAAGTTACAATGGCACCGAAAAAAGTGACTTATGACCATTTTTAACACTTATGACTGTTGCAGCATCCCCACGGTCACATGATCAAAATTCAGATGCTTGGCAACTGACTTATATTTATGACGGTTGCAGTGTCCTGGGGTTATGTGATCTGTTTTGCAACTTTCTGATGAGCAACGTCAATGGGGAAGCCAGATTCACTTTACAACTGTATTACTAACTTAACATCTGCAGCAGTGGTGGGTTGCTATCAGTTCTCCCCGGTTCTTGTGAACTGGTAGTGGAAATTTTGAGTAGTTCGGAGAACCAGTAAATACCACCTCTGCCTGGCCCGCCCCCAAACTATTCGCTGCCTCCCGAGTCCCAGCTGATCGGCTAGAAGGAAAAAACCTGTTTAAACTCTTGCCGCGGCACTTCAAAGGGCTGCCCTACAGCTGATCAGTGGTAAAAGGCAGTATGGTGGTAGACCAGTGCAAACAAATGGGTATACCGGAACACTCCAAAAACAAATGGGTAGACCAGTATGGCTCTGCAAGCAGTTAAAAGCCTGGTAGACAGTACCTCTGCTAAATCCTAAGGAATTGTCACATGACCATCAAATCATGCCCACAAAATAAGCCACACCCACAGAACCAGTAGTAAAAATTTTTAGAACCCACCCCTGATCTGCGGTGATTCACTTAACAACTGTGGCAAGCAAGGTCATAAAATGGGACAAAATTCACTTAACAAATGTCTCACTTAGCAACAGAAATTTGGGACTCAATTGTGGTCATAAATCGGGGATTACCTGTACTGAGAGAAGCTCTCTGAGGAAATAAAATGAATAGGAGACTCCTAAAAAGCTCCATTTGGGTCTTTCTCTCTAAAACTGTACATGCTGTATATACTTAAGCCAAGGCTCTTTATTTATTGGAAATATGCAGAAATTATCTATCTAAAAGAAGCATAACAAGAAAAAAGTGTGATTTAGAGAAGAACCACACCCAACTGGAAAATCTCTGTCCCTTTTCCCATAGCAGCCCTTACATCAAAGCCATCTTCTTCTTGTTCAGAATTACAATAATGTTTGCATGACTTACAAAGGTTGAGATTTAACATATGATACAGAAAGAAATAGATTTACAGAAGTGTCTTACCGGGCCTTCTCTTTCTCAACAGCTGACAGCTCAATCTGCACAGTTTTTTCTCTGTCTTGAAGAATCTAGGAGGAAATATATGACAAGTTGGGAAAACAGCTGAAGATGAATAAAGCCTTCCTAGCCACACTTCTACTCCACATTCCAACAAATGCCAAGAGCACTCTCAGATTACATACCAGCTCTTTCCAGAAAGCTGTTTCCTATGGAGAACTAAAGTTTGTGTTTGTTTCTAAACCCAACGGCCTGGAACTGCTCTGAAAGGAAGGAACTGAACTACCAAAATACAGTGACCCTAGTTCCTAACTCTCACAGAGGATCCAGAAAGATAGCATAGTTGATGGTATTGAAGATCTAACATGATTAGTAGAGTCCTTCTTCTCCATCTAAGTCTTGCCTTAGGTCACCAACTAGAGCAATTAGAGGACTTTTTCTCTTATGCCCATGCCTGAACCTTGATTGAAAAGATCCAGGTAATCTATTACCATTATGTTCTCACACTGACTCTTTTTCATTTGTCCTCAGTTACACCATTGCTCTATAAAAGCTTTTTTCTGCCTGGAGTGCCTGCTCCAAATAGTCCTGCCTTTGAAGTAAACAAGATTAGGGGACCGGAGGCTAAAATATATAAAGAACGGTTGCTGGAATTGGGTATGTCTAGTTTGATGAAAAGAAGGATTAGGGGTGACGTGATAGCAGTGTTCCAATATCTCAGGGGCTGCCATAAAGAAGAGGGAGTCAAGCTATTCTCCAAAGCATCTAAATGCAGGACAAGAAGCAATGGATGGAAACTAATCAAGGAGAGCAGCAAGTTAGAACTAAGGATAAATTTCCTGACAATTAGAATAATTAATCAGGGGAACAACTTGCCTCCAGAAGTTGTAAATGCTCCAACACTGGAAGTTTTAAAGAAGAGATTGGATAATCATTTGTCTGAAATGGTATAGGATTTCCTGCCTAAGCAGGGGGTTGGACCAGAAGACCTCCAAGGTCCCTTCCAACTCTGTTTCTATTCTATTCTACCCTGTTTTCCCCAAAATAAGACATCCCCTGATAATAAGCCCAATCGGGCTTTTGAGTGCATGGCAATAAGGCCAAGTGCTTATTTCAGGGTTCAAAAAAATATAAGACAGGGTCTTATTTTCAGGAAAACACGCTATTCTATTCTATTCTATTCTATTCTATTCTATTCTATTCTATTCTATTCTTTAGAATGATATTTTTCTCTTGCAGAGAGTTATGCAGCTCTCAGTTGAAAAGCCTTCACTTGTATGACTTTAAATGTACTGTATCCATGTGAGCCAGAAACTGCAGGATTATGATGTCATATGAATAATGTCTAGAGGGGAATGACTCATTCGGAACATTCATGCAGTAGAACTTTAGGTAGAGAATACCAGGATGAGGTTCACGACATCCAATTGGTACCTGTTATTTTATTTTAGAAAAGGAAAGACTGTTTTTCAAAAGTGGGGATACAAGCACCATTGAATCACTATAGAATGATAGCCTTCTTTGTGAGGAGGAATCAACATTTTTGCCAAAGAACCTTTGGTTTCTACAGAAAAACAAATATCATGTTTGTATACCATTGGCAAGTTATCTTTCATTACGCTAGCAATTTAGGACTGCATAAATAGGGGCCACTAGGCTAGGTGACACCAAAGAAAACTCTAACTTGTTGCCATAAAATAGTCATCTGAATTTTTGCAGCCATCATATGATACCCAAACCTCAGTGCCTTAAAAAAATACCTGTATTTTTACTTCATATTCTTGTACGTACTCTTCTAGCTCCTGAATTTGGTGTTTCATCTGGAAAACAAATTCAAATAATTTCTCACATGCTCTTAACATGCTATTTGGCTGTTTTGTTTTTATTATTCAGTGCATTTACATAAGCACATTTAAATGTCATTAAGTACCATATCTAGGCTGCAAACTTCCAGATGGCAATGAACGGCAGCAAAGAAATACAAAAAAAACCACCACAACTTTTTGGTGTTATTAATGGTCATTTTCAGTTTTAGAGTTCTTTATGTTTGACTTAATTAAACATGTAGTGACTGGGTAGCAACATCACTGTGGAAGTAAAAATAGAATATGTCTGAGGCTTAATCTGTTGTGGGAGCCCAATTATTATTTTTTATAAATCATGTATGCTTTTTTATTATTAGAATCCAGAATTGTGATTCATTCAGGGAATCATAGCCATATAAACTACGGAGTAACAAAATATATGAATCCAGCTGACATGGGAAAGTATTGCAGGTAGTTTAAACCTTCAGAGATTCTTGTCCTCAAAATCAGACTATTTGACCTGTCTTTGAAATACCTGAAAATCATCAGGTAAGAATGGAAGTGAAATATTTAGAAAGGTCACTCAAAGACCTTGTTAATACCAGCCAAATATCCTGCTACCCCTCTTGCCAAATTAAAAAAAAAAAGTCCTTGCTTTGCGAAAGGTTAATGAAGAGATTGTTAATAAAAATGATATGTAGTGAATTCCAAAAGGCTATTCCCAAAGGCTCAGACCTGGATAAGTTAAAGGAAAACTTCTTTGTGTGATTTGTCACACAAATCTAGATAGTGGGCAGAGACTATTAAAGCCAAGAAATTCACCCTATAAGACATCAGCCAGATGCAGGAAGGGCAACTTTAAATTGCCTTTATTGTACCTTCTCCCTTGGGAAAGGAGTGGGGAACAAAGCAGGCCTCAAACTCTGAGAGAATTTTATCACACTCTTCCTTCTGATTTGGCCAACCTACCAAGAATAATCAGAGGAACTTTGCCAGTTTATTCCTCATGAGTAAATTAATGAAGAGTTGGACATTGTCCAGAATAAAGTGTGTGACAGTAAGTAGGAAGTTTGTGTGAGCCAGGGGACGCCTTCTACTCCATCCTCTATTTCTATGCAAATACATATCAAGCTACATGCTGATATCTATTATCCCATGTCTGTTTTAGGGAAAAGTTACATGTATATTTAATCAGGATACTCTGGGATTATGAATTTAATTTGCTGTTTTCAGAGAGAAGCAGATTTGGGATTGCTTAACTTTATGAAACTGTTATTGTCTTTTTATAATTGACTTCTCTGACTTTTCTCTTCCTCTCACAGCAACCACAATTTCAGCATCATATTCCATGAAGCTGATATAGTATAGTCTAACAAAACTGATCCTATAATACATTTTAGAGTCATCATAAGACTCTTTGAATTGCAACTAACACACTTAACACTTTGAAAGTTTGGCACATATAATAATAAAGGGTACCTTTCTGAAAACCTCATCTTCCTCTCCACAAATCAGTTTGCATTCTTGAAGCTCCCTCTAATTAAAAATAATAATAATTATCTCATTGGATATCTCAGCTTGTTATCTCAAAAGAGTAGTAAAGCAGGAGTTGAGGACAAAAAGCAAAGATTTTCAGCTTTTCTTTTCAGCTGCTCTGAGATAAAATGCAGCATTCACAGTGGAATGCATAGAAAATGTGGTATTTATTAAACATGAGGCTGAATATTATCCTCAGCTTGAAGTAATCTAATGTTATGGTGTATGTAATGTAATGTTCGAAATAGGAGTAGAAGTACAGAAGTCTTTTTTTATTGGTGCTATATTGTGAACAAGTAGAACCACAACATCTTGTCAATTGGTCAATCAATCAGGAACCAGATGACCGCCAGATGGCAGCAAAGAAATTTGTACAAAAACTTTCAAATTGGATTTTTCCAGCTCAGCTGTCCTGGCCTTAGATCAAGGGATATCTTTACTGCAAAAATAACAACCAATCAGATCAATTGTAATTATTTAACTGAAATGCTTTGGAAGAGGTTGATTTAATATTTGTAGGTAATCTGTACTTCAAAATTCATACTGAATAAGATAATTTACATATTTAAATTCTGTAACAAAAATTACATAGTAGGACTTCATGTGATGTTTTCTCTCCGTATAATTAATTATAAATCTGAACTTCCCCACATCCTTTATTATAACCCAATAATATATTGCAGCTTATTCAATCACCACATGCCCCTTTGATTCTTAGTCTGAAACTAGTTCCATAGAGCTTCGTATAATAATGATAATAATGAAACTTCCCATTTTTCACACAGACAAGTCCTTAACAATGTATTTATTTCTATTCTGCTTCTACGTTTACTTACCTGTAGCTTATTGACATAACAGCAGAGCTGAAGGTAGTTCCGCTGATTGATATTCTTTGATGCTGTCAAAGCTGAGCTCTAATTTTGAACACAAAAGCAACACAAAAACTCATATTCAGTTCACCATTATGGACTGATCAGTCAACTGTTCCTTGCTACTACATCTTAATACGTAAAGCCAATTCATAGACTGGCCTGATAATCTTAAACCTGAAGCTTCCAGTTTTGTTTTGTTCTACTGAGAAACAGTAATTGAAGCTGAAGCTCAAATACTTTGGCCCCCTAATGAGAAGAGAGGACTCACTGGAAAAGACCTTGAAGCTGGGAATGATTGAAGGCATCAGGAGAAAGGGACAGCAGTTGGTTAGATAGTATCATTGATACAATGAACATGAATTTGGGCAAACTCCAGGAAACAGTGGAGGACAGAGGAGGCTGGAATGTTATGGTCCATGGGGTTGTGAAGAGTTAGACACGACTTAGCAACTGAACAACAACTGATAAACAGGTTCCCTTTTGTTTCTCCATCCTTCCAGGAAGCAAATTAATACTGGCTTCAAAGAGGAGAACTTTCAGTGGTGGGAGACTTGGAACCAGCAAAACACCTTATCTTAAATATTGCCTCTTTCACTTTCAAGGAAATCCCTGTATGTCTACTTAGGAGCAAACCAAACCAAACCAAACCAAAGTGATTATAATCAGAGACCTGCCATGCCAATGGTTGGATGCTTAATGTTAAATCAGTTTTATAATGACTCGGTAAAATAGTATTTATGCTGCATGTGTTAAATAATGTGAATGTTTATTTCAATAGAAATTAAATAGTAATTTCAAAACTAAACTGGGGAAAAAAGCTGCAATCTATCAAAATTTAGTGCTTCAGGCATAACATTCATTTCTGTGACAAGTGAGCTACAGCTGAGATATTCAGCTGCGAAAGCTGTTTCATGTTTCCCTCTGTAATGGTTTTCACTCTGTCAGGGCAGACATATGAGAAAGAAGGATGAGTACAGTGGAGATAATTACAGTGTATTTTTAAAAACATTTATTTCAATATGGCTGAACAAACACTATAATGAATCAATAACAGTTCCCAATTCACTTTAGGCAGGAAACTTGGTTTAGATCAACCTTATTCCAGATAAGCCTTACTAACCAGGATGCCCTCCAGAGCTTTTGGACTATTCATCTTGTTATGTATTTACTTATTCTTTCCTTCATTTAACATATATTCCAATAGTACCTCTCATGGTTGACAATTTTGTACAGTTAAAATATCCACAGTAGGTAATAATAAATATCCACAGTAAGAACTGAAATAAACATAAAATTCATAATAAATATAAAACACATTAAAAAAAGAAAAGAAAGAATTAAATGAAAATCAAACATATATATATATATATATATATATATATAAATGTGTGTGTGTGTGTGTGTGTGTGTATATGAATGATGCGGTGGGTCAGTGGTTAAGACACTGAGCTTGTCAATCGAAAGGTCGGCAGTTCAGCGGTTCGAATCCATATATATATATATATATATATATATATATATATACACACCTAGCTGACATCCAATCAATTGACAAAAGCTCTTTGGAAGAGCTCAGTTTTTAGCATCTTTTTAAATTAATTCAAAATGGAGTTCAGACTGATTTCAATCAGAAAATTATTCCAAAAGGCAGGAACTGCTACTGAGAAGCAGCACTTCCAGTGTATACAGGTAATCCTTGATTTACAACAGTTCATTTAGTGACTAAATGAAATTACAACAGCACTGAAAAAAGTGACTTATAACTATTTTTCACACTTACAACTGCTGCAGCATCTCAATGATCAGGTGATCAAAATTTGGATGCTTGGCAGCTGGAATGTATTTATGACAGTTGCAGTCTCCTAGAGCCACATGCAGTGGTGGGTTGCTACTGGTTCGCCCCAGATCAGGTGAATAGGTAGCGGTGGCGGCAGGAGGCTCTGCCCACCTGCCTGGACGCTTCTGTGCATGTGCAGAAGCGTTGCACGCGTACGTGCTCATGCCCACGAGCAAACCGGTAGCAACGGGTTTTGAAACCCGGCCCTGGCCACATGATCACCATTTGCAACCTTCTGACAAGCAAAGTCAATGGGGAAGCCAGATTCATGTTACTAGCTTAACAACTACAGTGATTCACTTAGCAACCGTGGCAAATAAGGTCATAAAATGGAGCAAAATTCACTTAACAACAGAAATCTGGGGCACAATTGTGGTCATAAGTCAAGGACTACCTGTAGACTCATGTATAAATGTGATCTCATTGCAGAATGACCTGACAATTACATTAGTAACTTTGGTCATGGGGATATAATATAAACCTTTTGACAAGCACAAGTTAACAAAAACTCTATCGGCATAGTTAAAACCTGATTCATGTGAATAAACTGACATATTGAGAACATAAATTGAGCAGGCATAAGTAGTATGGGGCTCTGATACAGTTAACATGTAATATAGCATGTGGAATACTCTTAGTTTTTCTGTCCCCTGTTTTACCTCCCACCCCATCCCTTCCCAAGAAGGTTGCTAGCAAAAGATTGCTTTTGCAAGATGCCTGAACAAGTTATCTGTTGGGAAAAAAACCTTTTAAAATTAGGCCGGGAATGCATGCAATTTAGTTAAAATTTATTATGAATAACAATAGAACTATAGTAAATAATAAAAAATGACACCAAAAGAACCCCAACAAAATTCATTTCTGCTTTACCCCTTGGAATATCAATTTAGTTAGCAGGTGCCTAGTAATTAGATTTTCGAGAATGCCATTTAAATTACATTAAGTTAAACCAATAAAAATAAAAGAATAGAATGATAGATCTTCCAGAGATCAAAACTACCATCAAGTATAATTACAGTAGGCATATTATTAACTGGATTGATTACATGGCATTAACTTGGTGTTGATTCTTAGTAAACACATTCTTGGCCTTCTCCAGATTATCCTTCCCCAAACTGGTTCTTCAGCTCTTCCAATGATCCACCCATTGCTTAACTTGTGAATAGGTGCTTTCACCTTGCTCCTAGTTGTCCTTTTTTTCCTCTTTTTCTTCCAATTATACTAATCCAAACTGTTTTCCATTTTTGATAGCGTGACCAGTTTAATTGGTCATGGGAACACAAAGTAGCATACTCCACAGCAGTTTTATACCCCGTACTGCTCAACATATTTATAAATGACTTCTGGAAAGAGCTATAGAATAAGATTACTAAATTTGCTAATAACACAAAGTAAGGAACATAGCAAATGTTCAGGGGTGTCAAACTCGCATCATCACGGCATTGTCACATGATGTAGTCACTTGATTACTTTTTCCCCCTTCGCTCAACCGGATGTGGGCGTGGCCAGCGTGTAACGCATCTGGCCCGCGGCCGTGAGTTTGACAGCCCTGCATTAGAGGATAGCATCAAGATCCAAGAACATTTCACAAATTGGAATAATAATAACAAAATTTCAACAGGGACAAATGCAAAGCTCTTCCTTTGGGTAATGGAAAAAAAAAGCAAAGACATGAATATAGCATGGGGAGATCATTTATTTATTTATTTATTTATTTATTTATTTATTTATTTATTTATTGGTTCGATTTATATGCCGCCCTTTTCCGAAGACTCAGGGCGGCTTACAATGCGTTAAGCAATAGCCTTCATACTTTTGTATATACCTGCTTAGTAGGGCTTTTGGCCCCCCCTAAGCAGTGTTCTTTTTTATACAAAGTCAGCTTATATATATTACATACATACATTACATGCAAAAAAGATCAGAATGCCTAGCTGAATATGAACTGACACTGCACCCTCAGAGAAGAAATGGATGCTAGGCTGCATCAACAGAAGGAGGGTGTCTTTAAATTTGTTTCTATATTTATTCTGCACTGAGCAGGGCACATCCAGAATGATTGTTCTGTTTGCCTTATTTTAGGAAGGTTATTAAAAAAACCAAGCTGATAAGCGAAAACCTCTGAAGAATGGTTGGGCATTAGTATGTTTAGCCTGAGGATGAGCAGGTGGACATAATACTTATTTCAAGGATTGAAAGGATTGCCATGTAGCAGATCATCTAGACTTGTTCATGTCATTCCAGAGCACAAGAGACAACAGGGTTAAATTACAAGGAAGGAGGTTTTTATTAGACATCCGGAAGAATTTCCTAGCTGTTCAACAGAAGAATGCTATTCAACAATGAAATATTAACCTTCTCACAAAATGAGCATGCACTGTCCTTCAAACAAAAAGTTGAAACTGATTTTTTTTTTTGATATATGATAATTTATTTGATGTATCCCATCTATGTACAATTTTTAAAGATTGGACGTTTTGGTGCCTGGATGAAATAAAAAGGGGAGATTTTGACTGTTTTTTAAGGAAAGGATGCAAAGCAGAATGCCCTGAGGTTGGGGTATCTGCAAAAGGATTCAAAAAGCCATGGTGATGGGTCACAATTATGCAGTCAAAGTTCTGTCCTGTTTAAAGGTGCATTGTGATGTTCTCTGTGAAATGTCTGTCATGAGGTATTCAGAAGATCTGTAATAGTCACAAGGTCATCATCAACCTATGCCAGCTATTTTCTTCCAGACCATCACATACATGTGCTTTTAAATATTACCATAATGTTGTAGTAGCAGAGGTGAAATGCTCCTGGTTCGGACCGGATCGCCCGATCCGGTAGCGATGGTGGCAGGTGGTTCAGAGAACCAGTAGCAAAAATCCCTGCGCCCCCCGACCCCATGCCCAGCTGAGCCACATGATCCTCAGAGGCTTCTTTTTTTTTTACTTTTAAAAGCATTTTTTCTACAACCTCTTCCAATGAAAAAATGCTTTTAAAAGTAAAAAAAAAAGCCTCTGATGATCATATGGCTCAGCTGGGATCATCAGAGGCTTTTCAAAGCATTTTTTCCTGCAACTTCTTGGCCGAAGAGATGGTAAAAAAAATGCTTTGAAAAGTCTCTGACGATCCCAGCTGAGTTGCCTAATCGGCAGAGGCTTTTCAAAGCATTAGAAAAAATGCTTTGAAACGTTAAAAAAGAAAAAGTTGGCCACGCCCACCCAGTCACATAACCCCTCCCTCACCAAGCCACGCCCACAGAACCGGTAGTAACGAATTTTACATTTCACCCCTGTGTAGTACTAGTGTCACGCAACAAAAAGAGTCATGCTTATATTTCTATGTTGTAGGATGAAAAAGCATCCAAGGAAATAACTATCTAACTTACCTTCTCAGAAAGCATGAAGATTCTCATATGCAAATTTTCATTGTCCTTCTCCTAAGAAAGAAGAAAAGGTGAAATCTCTGCCTTAAAATTGCATTAGTTCTAAAGGCTGCTAAACAGAGAGAGATTCATGCCCAAAAAACTGAGCCATTGTTTGTTTAATAAAACTACAGTTAAACAAATTTGTCTTAGCCCAAAGAGATGTTTTGCTATGATTCATTATGACTTTTTTGTTCATAAAGAAATTCATTCCTGGAGGTGCCCAAATCCTCTTGTATTGTTCCAGCCATGGGATCTAGAGCTACATTTGGTAATACTACTCTGGTGTGGAAGTAATATCTGCCTAAATTGATGATGTGAGTAGCAGAGCTACCCAAATGAATGATTTTGCAGCCTGTGGCAAAGCAGAAAATCCTTATCTGGCACGATGGGGATAGACTAGTGGCACTCTCACACACATGTGAGTGCCCGCCACTTGGACAAATGGAGCTGTGCATACTCATTCTCCTGCTGCTTGCCTGGTCTGGGGGTTGGGAACCCCTGGAGTAGACTACCCTGATCCAGAGGTCTTTGGGCAGACCAGAATGGGAATGTTCCAGTTGAGGAACTCAGAAGGAAGAGTTCAGGGAATTGCCCTTCCACCACCGGCAAGTGTCACAGGAGATAACTCTCACTTTGCTCAATGGTAAGGGAAACCCTGTTGGGGGATTAAAAAAAAATAAAGCTTTTCATTGAGATTCCTTCTTTATCCTGCTTTGTGACATTGCCCAACAGGGCAAATAGCTATTGATAACTGACAGAGGCTCAGAGGATTGTTCGGAGAACGGTCAGCACGCACCTTCTGAGTTGTAAGTACTGAGCATCTGGGCTACCTATCCAAGTAATGATGTGCCATAATCATTGAGGGAGTCAAGTGAATATGTCCTGAACTAAGAAAAGGTAAATAACCTTGCAAATCAAACCTGACTCCTGGTGATTCACAATATGTGCATGTGATTTTCCTGGCAGTCACCAAATTGTTTGCGAATTATGCCTTCTCGGATATTTTTTTTTAAAAAAAAATCAAAATAGCCTATGCTCCTGGAAATTCCTGATGCCTTCTATCCAACTAGACCTAACCCTCCTTACTTCCCAATCCCAGAGATTGGAAAGTATTGTCTCTTGAGACCTTAAAGTGGTGAGGGTCATTTTAAGCAGACCTTTCACAAATCAGTGATTTTTTGATTTGTTTGACTAAATGTACTGTAGGCCTGCTAGGTATTGCTTTAAATACATCCAAATCATGCCACCAGTTACTGGTGATTTAGCCAGCAGATTTATGGTTCTTATTTTTAGGATGCCGTGTTTTGCGTGGAAAATTAATCAGGAGTGTTTATTTTTATTACTGTCTACCAGTTTTTGCAGAAATTCCTCCTCTGAAAATGCTGTTTCACTCTCCTCCTCTTGTCTTTTCTTAACTGCTTCCATGTCTGTTTCTAAGACAGTGATGGCCTCCTCAGCTTGCTTTATCCTGGGCATAATCCATGGAATAATAATAGCAACAACAACAATTGTAATCATTGTAAAAAAGCTAATTAGACAAAGTGCAATGTTTTAGCAGCTACTCCTCCCCAAATAAATTGGGAAGGAAGAGATGTGTTGGATATATTCCAGAAAAGGCTCTAGCAAATGACTGACTTGACCAAGCTGTTGAAAATATTAACAGCTACTGGTATATCTACTAGGTGGGAGCTCCAAGTCATGGCCATCCCATTGAGAAGGCTTCACATGTGGCCAAGGGCAAGACATGAGCAATTGAGACACTTCATAGAAGAGAAGAGAAGAGAAGAGAAGAGAAGAGAAGAGAAGAGAAGAGAAGAGAAGAGAAGAGAAATAGCACAGCATAGCATAGCATAGCATAGCATAGCATAGCATAGCATAGCATAGCATAGCATAGCATAGCATAGCACTCTTTTATTGGCCAAGTGTGATTGAACACATAAGGAATTTGTCTTTGGTGCATATGCTCTCAGTGTAAATCTCAGTGTAAATCAGTGTAAAAGTGTAAATCAGAAGTCAATGTTGACTCAAAAGCACAATAAATAAAACATGTTTTAAATAATGTATTAATCCATTCAAATAACTTTGGATCTTGTGCAAATTAGAAATATTAGTCACAGTAACCTCAACAAGAATAATACTGTAATCATCAGAGCCGACTAATTAATGTGGCTTTGATTTAAACTGGTTTTTAAATGTCTATTTGGTGAGCTTTTTGGAGAGAATATTTGAGCAATAGGAATGAAAAGTAAGGTTCAAATCTGGATAGTTTTTCATGTTTCAGTTGAACAACATTTCTCAAAAAAAAGAAAGAAAGAAAGAAAGAAAGAAAGAAAAAGAAAAGAAAAGAAAGAATGTGCCATTCATTTAGTGTCATCTTTATTACAACTTACCTTTTGAGTTCAGCTTTCATGGTCCTCATAGTATCTTGTAGATCCCAAATATTTGCTTTGATGTTGTTCCCTTCATTAAGGAGATAAGTAATTTGTTCTCTCAAACATATATTCATATGCCTGGACTGAAAGATGGAAGCTCCTTTGGCTGCTATCCAAGTGTCCCTTGTTGGGGTACATATATAGATAGACATATCAGTTATTGCAGTCATAGAATTTAGGTCTGTTTTATGTATTCACTCCAATGTGTGAGGGTAAAAATGGATCCAGCGCTAACAATATTTTTTTTCCTTTCCTTCGGCTTCTCAATATTTGGAGAAGTAAAAGGCTTGTTGGAGGCATCATATGCAAAGATGCCCTTGATTAGATATAAAATAGTCTTTTAAAGAACAGATATATTAAGCCTAGGTAGAAGAAGATGCCATGAGATTTAATGAATTTCTCCTCCGATATCTTAAAACCTGGGCATTTTTGTTGTTATATTCCTATTTTGAAAATACTTACCTTGCATTCTTGGTTTCTTTATTGACAGCTACATAGGTTTCTGAAATCTGCTGGCAATAATAACAGATATTTAGTTATCTCCTTAAAAAAAAAGGAGCAAATATTTTTCAACTGTTTAATGGCTTGCTTTATGCAGTTTTGAGCAATCCCAGGTATAGCTGAGTAAATGGGAAGGTACTTACTGGGAATTTTGAGAGTTATAATAATTTTCACTTCCAGCACTACTAACCAGATTTAGGGAGACTGATAATCCTACTCTGGGGTTTATTTCAGAATAACTAGTTTTAGAATTCTTTAATGATATAATTGTGTCTGATGAAATCTTATCAAAACATGGCCTAAAGTCAGTGGTGGGATTCAAATAATTTAACAACTGGTTCTCTGCCCTAATGACTGGCTGAGTGGGCATGGCCAGGGGTGTGACAGGCAGCACTTGACCTCTTGCAAAAATGGGCCGCAGGGGAGGCACCGCCCCCCATGCCCATTTTGGGCCTAGTAGACCTCCCTGCAGCCTCCTGGAAACAAAAACGAGGCATGTGGGGACATTGTTGGAGGGGGGCTGAACCATTGGCCCCATTGTGGGGGAGGGGAAGGTGCAGGGTGGATGCAGCCATCGGCAGGGGTGGAGGCTCGGGAGGCATGCCCCCCCATGGCTCATGCTTGGTCCAGGCTCTGGAGGTGCTCCATGGACCTCCAGCTAGTGGAGCCACCTTGCCTGCCCAGGCTTCCCCTCTTGGGGCCCACAGAGCCCAGTCACTGAGCCCTGCTCTCTTCCCGCAGGGCCGGTGAGTCTTGCTGCTCGTCCTGAATGCTGCCCGGGAGGCTGGCAAATCACACTACTGCAACAGCCATCTTGACATTTTTAAAATCATACTCTCCAGATACCCCTGGCAACCATTCCAGCTCCTAGGAGAGAATGTTCAAAACTATTTAACACTAGTAGTTATTTTCTATTGTAAAACTTAGTAATTTATACTTTAGCATCCAGCAAGTCAAGTGCATGTGGCATTTGTAAACTGCAATATTTGGTGACAAGGTGAAAGATTTAATGATTCAGAAGTTATTTTACATCCTGAAACCACAAAGTGTTTGGTATTTCAATGTACTAAAATAGGGGACAGATCTGTGTACTGATCTATAGCGTTATAACCAGACAAAGTAAACATTATAGAGCTAGGGAGAAATGATAAAGATAGCATTTTTAAAATACTTTTACCATTACTTTGGAGCTGCATCATTGAATTATTGTGTCTTCTCCTGGTCACCCCTTCCACCTGTATCTCAATCGGTATCTTCTTTAATCATGGAGTATTTCTTTTGAATGATACTCGATATATTATACAAGAATCCATTTTTAAACTCCAATAAGATTAATTACTCATTTTATATTCAAAACTAATTTTGATTTTAATTTTACCAAACCTCTGAGGATAAGAAGGGTACTGCCAAACAAATATTAGTGAACTATAATGTGCCAAGAGTGGCTATATTTTTATTTATAAAATTGGAACAAATTTATGGAACAAATATATATATAATTATCAGTATTACCTTAGTTTCACTCATAACATGCTCTGCCAAGAAATATATTAAGAAACATCTAATCTGATTTTCCTTTTGGTTTAGCTGACTCCATGTATAATGTGTGTGTGTGTGTTATGTACTGTGTCTGTGTGTTTAGCTGTATGTGCTTGTGTATATCTGTGTCTGTATCTGTGTGTGTCTGTATGTCTTTTTCTGTGTACAGTCTTAATATAGCTTTGAGGTCATAAAGGGGCTTGACCACCTCAAGAGTAAACAACTTGCTCAGGAGAGGTGGTTGTTACTTTTCTGACCACTAGATGGCAATGCTGCTCTAATGAATACTGTATGTAGCTTGCATAACAGCGTTTCTGTCATTTTCAATTAACTTCATTCTACTTTTGCTTTTATTCCAAGTCAAGAAAAAAACAAAACAATTTTTAACCATCCTATCAGGAAGATCTTAGATATTTGTCCTCAAAAATTACTGGAGAAATAGAAGGAAGTAGGAAGCAAACTGCAATAATTAGGAATATGAAATTTAATGAACACTAGGATACCTTGTATATTTTTCATCAGAGTGAATTCTTATCATATTTTTTTATTATAGCTCGTTGTATTAAATCATGGTTTGTATCAGTGAAACAGCCATTCTGGGAAGATTCATTTTCAGGTCTACCGTTAGTCAGAGATGTTCACTGATTGGGTTTGTTTTCTTTCTTTTTTGTTTATTTGTCATTCTCTCTCTCTTTTCCTCCCTCGTTCCCTCCCTCTCTCTCCCTCTCTCTTGTGAGAAAAAGAAGAAGCTTGGAGTGAACTGCTAGAGCAAAGGTGATATATAAATAAAATGAATAAATATATATTTAGTGCAGCCACATTTTGGAGATTTGAAATGGGGTGTGGAAAAAAATCTCTTTTATAATTTGAGAGCAAGGCAGGGGTGAAATGTTCCCAGTTCGGACCGGATCACCCGATCCGGTAGCGATGGCAGCAGGTGGTTTGGAGAACCAGTAGCAAAAATCCCTGCTCCCCCATGCCCAGCCGCGCGATCATCAGAATCTTTTTTTTAATTTTTAAAAGCAATTTTTCTACAACCTCTTCGGCCGAAAAAATGCTTTTAAAAGTAAAAAAAAAAAAGCCTCTGATGATCGTGCGGCTCAGCTGGGATCGTCAGAGGCTTTTAAAAGCATTTTTTTTTACAACCTCTTTGAGGTTGTAAGGTTTTTTACAACCTCAAAGAGGTTGTTAAAAAATGCTTTTAAAAGCCTCTGGCGATCCCAGCTGAGTTGCCTGATCGTCAGAGGCTTTTAAAAGCATTTTTTACAACCCCTTCAGCCGAAGAGGTTGTAGAAAAAATGGTTTTAAAAGTAAAAAAATAAAATAAAAATGTTGGCCAGGTCAACTCAGTCACATTCCCACTCCTCCCCCAAGCCATACCCACAGAACTGGTAGTAACAAATTTTATATTTCACCACTGGAGCAAGGGCACATTTGAGCAAAATCATTAGTTTTGAGGCTATATACTGGTATTTATAAAGGCCCAAGGTTTGACTTCTATCTTTTCTACTGAAGTAGTACCTCAGGTGGTGGAAAATATCTTATTTTTATGGTAATTTTATTTAAAAATTAAATTAAAATTAGATTAAAAACTAATACAAGGTAAATAACATTAAAGAATAAAAAGAAAAACACAGGCACTATTGAAATAAAAAAAATTAAGAATATAGTAAAGAAAAAGAAAAGAAAAACATAAAGAAATTACTTCCCCCTTCATCACAACATGTATAAATGTTTTTAGAAACTTATCATCTCTTAAAATATATCTAATGATCTCTTCTTCCCACATTTCATCTCTTGGCTATAAACAATCATTTTTTCTGTCTGATGGTGGCAAATAACCACTAAGAATTATCAAAGATAACGACATATCTATTTGAACCTTGATCAAATAAACCAACTTTATATTCCTTCCTTCTACTTTTAACAATCTTGATCTTTTTTTCACTTCAAATAATGTTGTAGAGTGTGATTTCTTTCCATTTATTTCTTTGTGCCTTCTCACAAAATTCTTCAAAACTTTAGCCAGCCTCATTTGTAAATTGAATGTGGACAGATTATCCAGGTCACCCTCTTGGTTTGTTATTAACATATCCATTTTAATTATTAAGACATTAACTTTCATTTGTATGTCCAATGTACCATCTTATTCCATATTAACCTTGTACCTGTCATTTTAAAATCCATTTTGAAATCAATTGCAGTCTTGCCCTGTAAAACTTGTTCTTCGTCCATAGCATATTTTCGACACATTGTATCTATAATGACAAACATTCACAAAATTAACTTCTGAGTCCATTGCTGCTCTGTTTCAGTCCGCAGACATGACATGCCCAAGAATTTTAAGCACTTTATTGATAGTCTAGGCCCTTAAGGTGATTTCCCCAAGTTCCCACTCACACCCGGGACAAAGTCCTATTGAGTCCAGCAATGCTTAGTCTAGGCGCAAGGATACTGAATTCAAAGCCAAAGGCAAGGCAAGACTGTGCAGTCCAAAATCCAGGTCCAGTCCAAGGTATGAGTCCAAAATCCACTAGCAAATCTGAATTCCAAACGTAGCACAGTGAAGAGTCCACTAAACTTGAAGTCACAAAGGCAAGGCATGCACATGGCAAGTGAATGGGTGGTTGTTTCCACCAACTCCCTGCTCCACCCATCAGATTAAAGAGGTGATTGCTGGTGCAGCTCCTTGTGAGTAGCCTCATTGACCTCCATTGAAGTTGCCTCCATTCCACCCTCTGCATCTCCAGATCAAGTGGAAGAGGCAATTCCTCCTCATTCTCACTGGCTGGTTGCAGCTGTGCAGCTTCCCCAACCTACACTTTGGGAGGGGGGCTCTGAGGTGTCCAGCTGCAGCTGTGCCTCTCCTTTTTCTTCTCCAGCCAGGTGTTTATTTGGTTGCCCCTCCAGCGATCCCTCTGCTATGCCTCCCCACTTCGGCTTGGAGCACTCTGCAACTTCCCTGCGTTCCTCTGCACCCTCTGAAGTCCCTGGAGCTGGCTCTTCCTCATTCTTAGAGCTGGCATCTGGGGAAGCAATCACAATTGTTCACAAATATCCTTCAATACATTCCATGTATTTTGATTCATTAGTAAGTCAAATTTAAGTGTTCTTCTTTAAATTGTTGTCTTTGAGTCCTTTTATTTCCCTCTGGTGTCCAATTTTCAAAGTCCCGTTCTACCATTTTTTTTTTTAAAAAAAAATCAACACAAAAGCACTTTCCCATGGGAAAGATTCTTATATTTAATTCCAAAAACTTATTTCAAATCCATCTGGACCGAGTCAGTTTCTCACTTTGAAAATCAGAGTTCTAATTATCCCCTGGCTATTTATTCCTTCATCTCCCAGAGCCCTAAACCCAATGTAGAACAATGTCTTGTGGCCTTCTTGCATGGAGCAACATCTGGAGCACCTGTGAGTGATTTCAAGTCCTCTTCTTCAGGGGTGGGTTCTACTTACCTTTACTACTGATTTGCAGTGGGATCACACTTCTGCGCATGTGCAGATCGCCGATGATGACATCTGGGGTGGTGGGCGGGGCCTCCTGCAGGTTTTACTACCAGTTCCTGCGAACCAGTCCAAACCGGGGGCAACCCACCACTGCTCTTCTTGCTTGAAGAGGAATTATAAGGAGCCAGTCTTCTCACTGGCTCTTCATTCTGCTGTGGCTGTTGGTTCCAGTTTTAGCAGAGCTGTCTTCACTTCCCCATTTCTTTCCTGGAAGTACAAGTTGTAGCAAAAATCTTATAATACCCTGTTTTCCCCAAAATAAGACCTCCCCTGATAATAAGCTCAATCGGGTTTTTGAGCGCATGGCAATAAGGCCAAGCGCTTATTTCAGGGTTCAAAAAAATATAAGAGAGGGTCTTATTTTTGGGGAAACATGGTAATACATTGAGCTGTACATTTTGAAAAAGAGAGCCCATATTTTGCAGAACTATGTTGCTTAAAGAGCCTTTGGAGTGACTCTTTTTCAGAAAAAAAAATCAGACAATATAATTTCATGTGGACGAGAGTTAATTTATTCTTTAAAAATTAAACTGTAGACATTGTATTTTATTTATATAGGTATAATTGAGGGGTTCTCCCTGAGCTTCTTGTTTTGTTGCAGACATTTCATTACCCAATTTTCATCAGTGCTGCACTGCTGCATATATAATTCTTGTATTTGCTTTGTAATAGAAAATAGACAAATTCATGTGTCTTCCGTTTCCTTTTTTTGTTTTATCTTTATTTCCTATTCCTCTTTATAGTCACATTTGTTTATATTCTGTATTCACAAGTTTTGTCCTTCGATTTTCATCCGTAGTTGTAGATAATTAATTGTTATATTAAAAAAGAACAATTTATACTTCTTCTCTTTCCATGAAAGGAAATATTTTGGTGCCATGATTTCAGGGACTGTAAGAAAGAGAACTGTGATTTGTGAACTGCAGATTGTGATCTGCCTACATCTGATAAGGCAGTGCCTACCTTGCCTTCTCAAAACCAGGAAGGGGCAAGAAAATTCAACTCTTGGCTACCATCTAATACTAGGCCCTCAGCCTATTTCTCTTTTGCAGCAGACGTGTATCTTAAGATGAGACGTGAGCCCTATATGACTGCTGTGCATGACATTTCCCTTATATTACATGCCAAATGTTTGGATGTAAAATGCATGCACTTTCCATAAAGATTTATTTTTATTTGTTTTATTGTATTCAATACATAGTGTCCACCATTCTGATTATCACACTTTCATGGCTCTTGTGGGAAATTATGGTATATTCTTTGTCTAAATATCAGAGCTCACATTTTGTCATCAATGGAGGGAGGAGAGATGGGAGACATGTAAACAAATAACAGACAAAATGCCAAACTGAATATTGCACTTAATGTCATGCTCACAATTGACATGCATGACTTTGCATGGGAAATAGAAGCCAAGGAAAAGCTTTAGAAGACATTGGATCAATGTTAGGTTAGAAAGATCCAATATATTATCTTTCTATTTTAGTCTTGACATAGACTGTTTTTGCATTTCTGTAGGTTTTTCCATCCTTATATTTCCAAATGTTTTGGTCCTTTAATTGTACTGGGATGAAGGTAAAAGGTTTCCCTCAGTGCTGAATTGCTGCTGCTGAATGTACTTGCACAAAGTGAAATAGAAAACATAAAGC